TCGACCGGATGTGGAAGTCAATGTGCAAGAGCACCACTTGGTATGTGGTTATTCTGTTTACATTTTCAGTTCCACTGCGTTCAATTATACTAATCATATTATTATTCAATTAAATCAGAAAATGGGGCTGTTGACTAAATCTGTATCGAAATAGAAAATTAAAATATAAACCAAATAATTCAAGTACGAGACTTTAAATGATCATATTGGCTTTTACTTTCGAAGTGACAGCGCATTACAGCAATAAAAAAAACCTGTCATTGTACAAGGAAATCCAAGATAACGTAAAAGCATCAAGTTTTTGAAAGGATCATTAGTGTTAGAACTTATTTGTAGCTCTTAACAAAACTGAAACATCTTTGCAGTATTATATTCAAGCTCCTATAAAAAAAACAATCATCTCTCAAAAGCTGGTATAAAAAAAGTCCATAGTTTTGTTCTGATTCGAAAACAAAGACTTACTTTTATATTTCAGATGAACGATGCCCGCCAATAGATCCAAGGATGTTGGAACTCCGTCCAAGAATATTGTGTGTTCCTTCATCATGCTACAGCAATGATCAATGCAAGAATGGAGATAAATGTTGCTATGATAGTTGCCGTCAACGATGCATCTCACCACCATGCACGGTTTCTTTCTACATTTTTCAAGTTTTGAATAATTTTTACATTTCAAGTTTTTCACCTATTTCCTCATACTACGATGAATAAAAACCCTGGTGACAAGCAGTATGTACATGAACTTATAATGTAGCTCCCAATTATTAACATATATATATATATATATATATATATATTGTTTCGGAAAAGTTCGTTTTTTTATAAATCTTTCACGAAGCACCCGTTCCTATGCGACACTATGGCAAACTATACGAGTAATGGTAAACTACAAAGTTTTTCACTATCCTAGATCCAAGTGTATGAATATATCTTCATAAAAATCAAACAAAATAAACTTATGACGAGATCTTTATTTTATATTATTGTTTATTAATTCACTTTATAATTTAGTTACAGACGCGCGATGTCCTCCAGTTGAAGACAGAGTTGGAATCTGCTCAAATGAATGTAAATCAAATATAGACTGCACAGGAGGATTGATTTGTTGTTCAAATGATGTGCTACTCAGTGCCAATATCCTCCATTTATACCATATTATTGAATTTGTGTTAAAAAAAAAAAAATATTATGTAAAACTTGCGTTCTCGAACTTTGCATTAGTATGGATACTATTGGCAATGGTAAATTTTTACAGTGGCAGTATGATGATACGCGGAAGCCTACGAAATCGCTCGAATAAAAGATTATCGCTGAAGGGATTTTGCGTGCATACATTAGTATATATAATATTACGGCCTAAATGAAAAACAATGCCTCCACAAAACATCTATGGGACCTATTAGTAGCAGAGATTCATAATTTTTACAAAGTCATCTTATAAATGATTGTTGTTGAACGTCTGATTAGGCTTTAGTTTTTCAATGGCCCACGCAAACGAAGTATATATTTCTGGCGGAATTTATGAGGTCTTTAGACAATTGATTTTTCTAAAAGAAAAACATTTTATTTATTGGAGGTGTGAAAAACTGTTGCAAAGTATCAGTGAATGTGCTAACGTATAGAGTCCAGGATCCAAAACATCATTATGTGGTTTCAAAGCGCCATCTATCACAGGGTGGTCCAAACCCAGGCCCGGCTTCATTATCTGTTGCCCGCGTCGCCATTGCGGGAGGGTAAACAAAATTTGCATTTGGTGTTGTTTCGTTATAAAAATAACCAGAAAATTCTTTTGACATAATGTTACATCACTAATGTCATGGAATTGACTAGTGTTATGGATAGCTGAGACAACTAGCGAAGTTGAATAATGTGCTTGGCAAGTCTAAATTGTTAACAGGCTTTCTATCCTTTTGGTCGGAATATATGCTAATAAAATAGGCTTCATAGAAAACTGAAAATCGATTGCAGAATCTAGTAGCCTAGGTCGACTATGCCTGATAACTAAATATTATTGTTATGGCCGAACAATTTAATTCCTGCTGGGTGTTTTTTTCAACCAGCCTAAACAGTACTACAAAAAATTCTGCCTATTAGCCTGAAAATTCAGTAATTACTCTACTGTATTTCAAATTTGGTAAAATTCGGTATTCAAT